TTGACCTGGGCCAATGGTGCAAGAGGAAAAATAAAGAGGAAGGAGCAAAGGAAAGGAAAGGGAAAGCCACATGCCACGCCCCCAATGACTTTTCTCATTAAGCTTGGCCAAGGCGAACGTGGTCGAAAAGAAATCAAACTAAACTTTTGCACAAAATTCTTGGGTCGCCGGCCCCGGAGGGACGAGAACATGTGTAAAGCGTCGAGCGGTTAAAGCTAAACAAACAATTGCCAAATGCAATCGAGTTGGTTTTGGCCCCCGAGGAGAGAATGGCCGAGAGTGGGTGGGCTAGGTGGCTAGATGGGCAGGATTGGACGTAGAACACTGAGGGAGGAACAGTTGCATGTTGGCAAATGGCAGGAAGAAGTTTGCCAACCGCATGCTTCAACTTCAATTTGCTGGAAGGATTGTTACGGGGAACTGCTGGGATCGCTGCTTACAGCTTGACTCGTATTTCATTACTCGAACTGGTATTAAGTGGCAAACTTTTGTATTTAACAACTTTTAGCAGCCCGAGCAGCAAAAATGAAGAAGATGAACCGACCGAAATTTTGCCATCGCAAAACCAACGCAAAACAAACAAAAAATGTAGCGTAGAACGTAGAACAAAAAGTAAGTTGCAGTCACTTGGCTTAACTGCAATTCTCTCGAAATGCACTTGTCAAAATAGCACTGAAAAACTTAAATTTATTTAAGTTGATTTTCAAAGCCCTAAGAATTTAAGACTTTACAAAAAAACACGCTGGGACTAAACGCATATCGTTTTTACCATGGAATACTGGTAAAATTTATATTAAATACTTTAATTTTGCCAATTTCTCTTTCTACGATTATCTGACTTCGAAACACTTCAATTAGTAAAACAGAGAAGAACAAATTCTCCAAATTCGATACATTTTAAACTCAAACTATTTATTTTATTTTTTAATTAATTATTTTCTATTTTTTTTGAGTGTAACATCGAAAAGAAGAGTAATGTAAATGAATAAAGACAGCTAACCAGTTTCGGGGGCGAAAAGCCAATTGGCAAGAACGTATGGTCGAAAAAGTGAGGCAGTTAAAAGCAGTGAAGATTCCTGAAACTGGGACAACATTTTGCACTTTGCAGTTCCGCGAAAGTTGCATCCCCCAGCCCGAGAAATCTGTCAAATAAAAGTTTGATTGGCACGCCCCAACCCTCCCTCCCTCATTTGCCTCCTGTGCCCCTTTGGGTGTTGCGAATCTGAAATCTGAGTTTGCCAGGAACGTTAATTAGCAAATGCAGCGAACTGAGGAAACTTTCGAGTATTGCCATGAAACGCATGCAACTTTGTGGCACCCCCGTCGCATAAACTCATCTGAAGTGGCGCATAAATTGAGTGCATATAGTGCCCATATATGCAACAATGTAGTGTAATTTCCACGGCATTACCATAATTATCCACTGGCATTCCTGTTGCTACCGCTGCTACTGCTGCTCCTGCCCATCATCCTGTTGATCAGCCTTCGTGAGAGTCCACTCCTTAATGCCAGGTCATGCAAGGTAGCGGAAAACGAAAGTTTTTCATACGTTCTGCGTCAGCAAAGGGCGGAAAAATGGTGAGCTGAAAAACCAGACCATCCCCCCACATATTCGTTGGCCGTTGGCCAATGTCGGGGCTGCACTTTGGCTAAATTACATTTTCAATTTGTCAGCTGGCGGGGCACTGCAGGCCATTAAATGGCAAATTAAGTTCAGCTTCGGCTTTTATTTTATTATTTGCCATTCTGGGCGCTTGCAATTTTTGCATTTTTCCCATTTTCCATTTGCCATCCGCTATCCTCCGTGGGCAAATGTGTTTTTGATATGCGTTTCATTGTCTGACGATCTTGGCGCATTATCGTGGCAGATTTTCCGATTTTCGGCTCCGGCCATCTGAAAAGGACGGAGGAATATGCTGAATATTTCATGAGTGTCATAAATTTCTCCTTTGCGAGGTGGAAGTTAAGTCAAGCGCTTACGCGGGCTTCAGTTTTGCCGGCTTTTTATTTTTAATAACTTTCCATTGTGGCTGTCAGTGGCAGGCAAGACCAACACAAACACACACACGTGCTTCTCCTTTCTGCTTTCTCCTGTTTGCCAGGACTCAGGACATGTCAGCAGTTCGTTGTTGCTTTTGTCGCTCCTTCAAGCTGCTTTATAATTTATGATGCTTGGCATCGAAGACTCCTTTAAACACACACAAGCACACACGCCACACACATGTCGCCAAGTTTTGTATAATTTTTCAAAAAACTGCATGAATATTAACTGCAAGTGGCAGAAGATGGCGACGGCAGCATCCTGCCACCGAATCCTGGCCCATCTTGGCTGCCACTTTATTGTGTGGGCGCCGGGCGAAAGTTTCAAGTGCCAGCTTGATCCGGAAGGGGCGGTGGCCACGCCCTACTAACTTATGCATACGTGTAGCTCAGTCCTTCTTCCGCCTCCCCAGCTTCACTATTACCTTCCATCGTTCCTTTTCCCTTTTTTGGGGAAAGGATTTTACCATACATATTTGATGCAAATGTTCGCAAATTGTCGTCGCTGTCTATTGGACATTTTGTGGCCACATTCGTTTTGCTCGCACATCAAACAAAAGAGCAGAGCACTTGAAAGAAAATGTTCAAAAAATTGATTGAGAGCAGTTACTTCTTTAAAATATTTATAATTTGTTATCAGTTCTATAACATTAAAAAAACTAATTTGTAAAAATATTGAAAGAAAGTTTAAAAAAAAATTCTTAAATAGATTTAAAACAGTTGCTACTTTTAAATATTTATAATTTTTTTATAAGTTATAAGACATTAAAAAAATATTTCATTGCAAACCCATTTTAAAAAAATTAGACAGTAATAAAATTATTAAAGAATATTTCTGATAAAACACTCAAAACCAACTGCAATACAAATTTCAACAAATTAAAGAAATATCGAAAAAACTTCAGAGTATATGAATATTCAAGACATTTCTCCCAAACTTAGAAACAGTTTGACTTATATTTTTTATGCACTTGTGGACGTTCAAGTGGAGTGCAGGTGGCACTCTTGTATGGATTACGGATAATTTGCTTAAATTCAGCAAGCAGAAAATAACATTTTGCACACTAGCTGGCACGCACAATGCCACCGAGCAGACCAGACCAGACCCTTGGAGCTGTCCGCTTTGACTCCTGGTTCCTCTGATGTCCTGTCCTTTGTCCCAGGGCTTATCACTTGGCCAAAAAAGCGAAAGGACAAAGATGAGAGAGCTGGCCGGGGGATTCTCCTGCTGCTTCTGCTGCGAATGTCAGGCGAGTGACACGGCAGCTGTGCTTTAAACAAAGCTAAGCTCGAGTAAAAACAACATGACTAATAGTTTTGACAGAGCCAGGCAAAACAAAAGCCAGACAGCATGTCAGATAAAAGCCAAAGTGATGGCAGCAGGGAGCTGTGAGGAAGGCGGAACTGCATGCTAAATGTTGTCAATTAGTTGGCCAGTTGGTCAGCCAAAAAACGAATGACCGAATGACTGGGCAACTTCCTTCAGAAATAGTTGACCAGCGACCCCTTTGCCACGGGCAACTAGTCATCTTTGCACAAATGATCAATTAGTTTTAATCATGCGAATCGTGTGGGAACTTTTCGGTTCCAAAAAGTACATGTGACTTGCAGATTACAATTTCTAGAGAAATGGGTATATTTTAACATAGACAAAAGTACATTTCAATTCTGTCAATCAGGTTGTCAATTACATTTAATATTTACTTCTCAGAATCCAACAGTTTATACTATGACTTGCAAATTTCTCTCTAAGCTTTCTATTTCAATCATGATAGATGTATCTTAGATACGAGAATCAGTAAAAGGTTGGCCAAGTTACATAAACCACTACAAGCTTAAACAAAAACTAATGAAACATTAGTTCCAATTATTTTTCCCCCTTTGTAAAACTCTCTTGTCTCTCTTGACCCCTTTGAAGTTGTAGTTGTAGTGCCGACTTTGAACATACACATAATGCAAGAAGTCTGCTTTACGACAGCTTCAGGTGAAGGAGAAAATCCTAAGCTGGGTTATGCCATTTCTTTGGGTCGCCTGGCCCCTGAATCACAGGGCAGCTCAACAGCTTGGCTCAGCTATAAAAACACAAAGTCGCCGCTAAAGTCGCACTTAAGCCGAACTCTCCTCCTTTTTTTGATTTTCCACCCACTCATGCTCACACAGAAACTGAAGTACAGTAGAATGTCCTTACGTCGGGACGTGCATACAGATGTCAGCAAGTGGGGCGAAGTTCATAAATTCAAACAACTAGCCATATTTTCCTTGTGTGCACTGGGAAAAAATTAAATTTTAGTTAATAATGCATAAAAAAGTGACTTATTTAAGAAAACATAAAAACTGAATAATGTAGAATCTATAAAGTTCTTATAACATTTCCAAAAAAAATCTTTAAATTTCATTTTATGACTTAAATATTTTTAGTATAGATATAAAAATTTATATATCTTATCAGATTGCAAATATTTATTTTATTTATTTTGATTACAATGATAGTTTATAATTCTTCCACGAAATGAAGTAGTTTATTGTCTACCTCTAGAACTTTTTGCTCCCTGTAAGTTTTGTGTAGCTGCCGCTTTTTGCCGCTCATTTGGCCTGGCCCTATCTGGAGAGGTTCAGCGGGTTGTTGTGCAGTAGGTAGGTGGCTGGGGTAGTTGGATGCAAGTGTTATGATGGGTGCATGCAACCACAACCCACCCACGCCACTCGCCTGCGGATATGCAACAATGTTGTCAAGTTTCCTGCTCGACAACGGGGCCGCCGAGCCACCGAGCGCTCAGTTGGCATTATGTCCACCGGGCGTGACTAACATGCACATGCTCAACTGTGCTGGAAAATGTTTTATCCAGCTCACATCTCACCTAAAAGCCCCCCCAAAGTTGAAAAGATTGTGTTTGTTTTTTGTCCCGGTGACCAACTTGAATTTTGATTCTCATTTCTTGCCTTTTTTCATTCATTTCCAGCAGAAGCAGCAGCAGAAGCACCAGCAACAACATGGCCAAGGACTTGAGCACTCTGGGCTGGGATTATCTGATGTTTGTACTGTTTATAGCCCTCACCGTTTTGGGGCCGCTGTGGAAACGCATTTTTGGCAAAAAGAAGGAGCGCAGCAAGGCCGATTATGTTTTTGCCACCGGAGGAGTTTCAATCGTGGCAGTGATGATTTCTATAGCTCGAGGAACTTTGGGCGTGAGATCAGTGTTGGGTAAGTTTTAGGAATATTTTAAGATATGACCAAAAATGGTCAAAAAACAAGAGACTATTAGATACCCGTAAAGCGACTGCTTGCACTGCTTGAATTTAATTATTTTTGTTTGCTCATAACTTTCTAATAAATGGTCTGATTTGAAAAATTTATTCTACATTTCCATCGTTTTTAAGCGAGGTATTAGGCCATTGTATACCCTTTAACCGTATAATGACATTCGTTGCTAATTTTATTAAATTTTTCAGGCTATCCCAGTGAGTTGTACTACCGAGGATCTTCCATGTGGGAGATTATCTATGGCATGATGAGCGCCTATCCCATCGTCTGTTTCATGTTTGTGCCCGTCTACTTCAATCTGGGCATCACCTCCGTCTATCAGTACATCGATCTCAGGTAAGTCCAGTTCGCAAGCAGTCCAAAGGAAAGTCCAGAACAGAAAGTCCCCAGAGTGGCACATCGTTTAATTAGCACGAAGCGAAGCGAAACAAACCGGCAGAGGAAAAACAGGAAAATTGTTATTTAAACATTCATTTTAATTTCGCCAAATGCGTCGCAGCGACGACTGGTGTCCATGGGTTTTTGTGTCGCTTCTCTTATCGCCAAAGCGCACACAATTTTATTCTTCATTAAGGAGGCCAAATGAAACTAAACAGAGAAAGCGCCAAGAGGGCTCTGAGAACAGCTCAGGTTCTGTGCTTTTGCACAAGTTGCTGCGTTGCTAAATAAATTTGAATTACATTTTACACACAAAAACGAAAAACGAACCAACAGAAGGGACAACAACAATGAGCCGCTAACAAATGGCCAAACAAAAGCCAAGCCAAGCCGGCAGAGCAAATAATCTATAGATTTGTCCTTGCCCCGCCGAGGATAGCAACTCCAACAAGTCCAACTTAGAGACTCAGTTTCGGACTTGGTCTCTCGGTTGCGAGGATGCCCGGATGCTATCGTCCAGTTGTCGTCAGTGAGTCTGTGCCTCCTCCTGCTCCTCCTCCACTTTCCATTTCCATCTGTCGCAAGTTGTCGCCTCGTGGGCCTAATTGTTTTTTAAGTTCGAAATTAGTTAACAAATTTGTTATCAAATGTTTTGCAGTTTCGACAACAGAATTCAATTAATTGCAAAAACTGACAGGGCAAACGGCGACGGGGGGAGTGGCCATGGTGGGCAGAGCATAATTTGATTGAAATTTAATTGGCATGTGCCGCACATTGACAACATTTTCGGGGAAAGAGTGGGGAAATCACTGGACGTTGCCAAACTAAGTAAAGTGAAAGCTGTGCAGAATTGACAAATTATTTAAATGCTTGCTTGAAGAACTGAAGGTAATTTGTAAATTAGCATAAACAAACTGAAATACGAGCAGACATTATAAGGGAGGCCTAAGAGAAATTAATGATAAAATCGATGGGATGACTAATGTCTACAGATCTTATTTACTAGTTGGATTAATTACAATAATCCCAGGGTTTTGCATTATTTAAATATTTACCCATTTTGTATCTTTCCTTTTATTAAAATATTATTTGGCTTTTTAAAATGGAATTAAATGACTTCGAAAATTATTATACAATTCAATAGATTGCTTTATTCCCTTTAAAAACACATTTAAATTAATGACCTCATCAATGACTGATAAAGTTAGTTTTCGAAAAAATACCATTTAATAAATGTTCATTTTACTCGGCTTGGACGCAACACTCAAACTAATTGAAGAGCCAACGAGACGAGCTACTCCATCAATCTTAGTCAATTGGCTTTGCCCCAAAAGCGGAGAAATGAAGAAAGAAGGCAGGCGAGAGGAAAGAAAGCAAAAAACAAGAAAAGGGTTGAGAGGAGGCGCAACATGGCCAAATGTTGCCCCAAAAAGTTCGGGCGCACAACATTTGGATGCCTCATTGTCGCTTGTCATCGCAACTGGCGCCCCGCGACATGTTTATGCATACAACTTCATCAAAATAGGCTGAGCCTCTGGACGGGCAGAAGAAACTGGAAATGGAAATGGGGTTTAAGGGCAAACACACAGAGGCCGATAAGTGAATATGCTACAAATTGGCAAAAGCCACTTGGCCAAACACATCCAACCAGGCCAAATAAAGCAAGTTTCAGACAAGGAAAAAATGAGTAAAAGACAAAAGCCTTGACGTTGGCAGCACGAGGACAATACAGAACGAGGAGGATATTATACTTAAGTGACTAGGCTGAAAGATACCCATTAATTATATAAAATTCGCATACTTCGATACCTCACAATACAGTAATATAAATAAGATAGAATTGACCATAGATATGAAATGATTTATGTCCAATTCAAAATTATCAACATGATATTTTATCATATCATAACAAATTTAGTATTTTTTGAACAGATAATGTAAAAGAATAATAATCGTTCTTAAATCTTAAAAATATATTAAATTGATCTTATGTCAATTTTTTTTCTGTGTACTAATAAATACCCAAAGATCCTTTTTATTAATCTTAGAATTGATTTTCTAGAATACTTTTAGTTCATATATTGTTTCGACGGAATAAGTTTTCGAGTCCCCACAAGATAATATACCCCTGAGTCCTCCGATTACCCCGTATAAAACCAAAAAAAAAGCCCTAGTGAAAGCCGAAAAGGAAAAAGGAAGCAACAACAAAGAAGCCACTCGGTCTGAGGCTGTTGACAAATTGTATGACAATTCGTTTGTGCCATAATGTTTATAAATAGCGCGTGTTGTTGCCTGTCACTGGCATCAGGCATCAAGCACCAGGATCTCCACCCCCAAAAAACTTGCGAAACAAAAAACCCAAGACATCCCAAGCACACACGCACCCACAAAAGTCGTGGATTCTCTCACTTGTCAGTCGCCTGTCGCAAGTGATGTCTGCCACTCAAATCCGAGGAGGAGGAAAAGTGGGAGTAGGTGAGGAGGGATTTGGGAGGAGCATGACCCTTGACTCGCTGCCAACTCAAGTGTTAGCCATCCAGCTCACAGAGAGATTTGCTATTTGGCCCCCATCGAGTTCAATGGTCAAGCAAAGTTCGGCTTTGTTCGTCCCGGATAATTCATACTGCCGGTGATTTTGGGGTGGCAATTACATGTAAATAAATTGATATCAAGCTTGTGTGCCAGAAGAGCGGGAGAGATCAATGCGAACAGTTGTTGGCACTTAGCAAATGGAAAAAATGCATTCCGGCTCCTTCCTCCATGGTTTATTTACGAGTACAACGTGGGCCAAAGTGCTCCAGAGTGAATGACAACCGAATGAAAAAAGGGAAGCCAGGAAAAAGCCCGGAAAACCCGGTAAGGGGAAAACCCCGTGTGAAGGAGTACAGGGGTCGGTGTTTTAGGACGACATGCATACGCATAAATAAAGACGTTTTCGGCGCTACAAAGTGAGGCCGTGATTTGCAATTCAAAGGCAACAAAGTTGTTTGGGAGTAACACACATGCCCTAAAAGGGGAACAGATTAGAAAAGGGGATATTGGGACTTGGACTTGTCAACGAAAAAATAAAAATCAAAAATAAATATTACATTATTTTTATAGCCAAAAGCCATTTAAATCTCAAGATGCACAAGTACTATCTTTAATATATTTTATATTTGCAATAGAAACTTGAAATTGCAGAGAAATTTAAAAAATTTGAAAAATTTAATAAAAATAAAATTAACTTAATATCTAGCAGCGACTTAAATCTCAAGATCCCCAAGAATGGTACATGCATATTTTACTCTCCAAATTGATACCTTTTTTTGTGTTTAATATACATTTCCAATTTGCAATATAAATTTTTTAATCTCTTTGTAGTAAACCTTTACCTTTTTGGGTACTCCGAAGTCGATTAAATCAAGCGAAACCTTTCAGCTTTGATTCCTTTGCTTTTCCCACCTTTTTTGTGGGCGGCTTTTAACGCATTGCCGGCACTCAGGACACCGACTTCATATGGCTGATTATGTTTATTTATGCATGACATTTAATGCAATCAAATGTGTCACCCCTGGTTGCCTGTTTCACCTTTGCGCAGATTGCCTTTGATTGTAAAATTAACTCGACCCTCCCAGGAGACAGGCGATTGAGGAGGAGCAACTGATGATTTGGGTTCGGGTTTGGCTGGATGGCTGGCTAAACGGCGATTATGTGGCCATTGTACAAAACCACTCGTCATATTAAATTTGCCATTAATTTATGCCTTTGTCGCCTGGCCAAAAACTGGCTTGGCTTAGCGGCTTGCTTGTAATGATAAATGATGGGAGTCGAAAGAGGAGGAGTTGCAGACTAAACTCAATTTCCAGGGGGGCGATGCGAGGTCAGTGAGGTCGGGCCAAAGTGGGAAAGTGAATACCCGGTAGGGCCAGGCCAGGGTTCAATTAATGGATGGGTGGCGCAACGACGCCTGCTGACCTGCTCATTCGCTGGCAAACCATTTTCACACCCTCCACTGATGGTGGTCATTGACGTTGTCCTGCCTGCCAGCCATCCTGATGGTTGAGTGGGTGGGCAAATGGGAGCCTGGAGCTGCGAGTTCTGTCCTTGCTGGTAATTGCTTGCCCGCTGGCATGGCTGCAGCAATTATTACATACTTTGCGGCACTTACATTTCATTTAAAGTTATTAAGCGACAATCGCATCGCAGGATGTCTTTAATCAACTCGGCCAAGTAAATTATGCCGGCAAAGGGGGCGAACGGGGGTAGAGATTGAGATTCGCTGCCTGGTTAAATCAATTAAACTAAAACAAAAGCCAGGAGCAGGCCAACGTTCAATCAACTGGACGGCGGTGACAGCCCCCAGGTCATTACTCACACAGAGTGAGATGGAAATGGAACTGCAGAGATGGAGAAGGAGATGAAATGACAGACAGGACAGACAGACAGACGAGAGCCGGGCAAATCCTAAGCCAGGACAACTGGCCGAGCACTTATTGTGATGAACACAATGTTAACAGGCTAAATGAGAAACAAATGCCACAATCAGACAACGTAGAAAAACACTCGCCATCCAGTAGAAGACGGAATGAAAGGCAAACCGAAAACAATAAATCCCATAAATCATATTAAATTGACATATCAGGCCAAAATTGACCGCAAGCAACAATATGTGTATGTGTGAGCTTGTGAGCTTGGGATATTGTATCCTACAATAATATTTCTTTATCAATTTCCCCAACAAGCTCAGAGTCCTGAGGAAAAACAAGAAAAACGAACGAAACGAACACGAAATAGATGAGAGGCAAAGGCGAAGGCCTAAATAAATGTTTGACCAACCAAGCAAACCGAACCGAACCGTACCGAAAATATCCCGCCCACTGCCACGCCCATTCAATCAACACATATAAGAGCGACTGTCATACATACATGACGTCCTTGGCTGTCCAAATTGGCCAGGCTTTTCCTCTGCGGGATTTTCCCGATTGTTTTCCTCCAGCCCACAGACGCAGCTGTGTCGCAATTAAAATGTGTATCAAGCATACGACGCGTTGTCATGTAAACCGCTTAAGCCCCCGCCCAGCAATGTAAAGTCGATCGGGTAAATATGTTAAGCCCGCTTAATGCAAAGCTAGCCTGGGGGCGTGGCCCCACCGCCCATTCCCCCATATGAATACATATATACAGATGTCAATTGATGTTTGCCTATGGGGAAAAGTGCAACATCATTAATTAATACACAGTACGGGGTTCCTTTGCGGACGCCTGCGGCTTCGTTTTATAATAACCAGAACATTAAGGCGATTAAAGATGAAATCCACTGCATCTCTTCCTTCCTTCCCCAACTAAATATGCATTTAATCCTCTTGCCGAACACCTGCGCCCCCCAATCGCTCATGCCCCATGCCTCAGCCAAGACACGGGGCCCGTTGACAGGCCAACTCAGACCAGCTCAGATCAATATTGGCCAAGGGCAATTAATCATTTAGTGGGCCATCTCACACACGTATGTAGACCGATGCAGAGACACCGAATGACAAACACAGGGAAAAGGGAAAGGGAAAGGTACAGGGACGAGCAGAGAGAATGGGCGAAATGGAGCGGAGTTTGGGGCAGCCGGGCAAAAGTGGATTATGCAGTCAGCCCAGATGTTCAACAAGAAATTACTTGTGCTTACAACTCACAGTCCAGTGCGAAGGTATAAGAGCAACTATCGGCCTGCAGTCAATAAACCGAACTTCCAATAGGCAATGCAAATCTCGGTGTCCCAGAAAGCTCTTTGACTACAGGCAGATGTTAGAAAACAGACTGTTTAAAATAGTTCATAAATCAGTTAATAAATCAAGTACATATCAGAGAGTTTTCCATTAAAAATTATGTGAAAATAAGCACTCACAAAATAAATATATATTTTTTGACAGAAAAATATTTATTACGGTTGAACCAAATTAATAATAGATGAGTTAAAATTAAAGCATAACTCATTTACTAAAAGGAAGTTCCAGTTTAAATTGATTAATGAGTATTTCATTAATCGGAAATAAATGATACTAGGGGTGATTCAGGATAAAAAGGTTGTAAAAAAATGATAGAAAAGATAAAATGGAATATTTTCTGTGATAATATTTCATCCACTTTAAAACAGCTCCAATTTTACAGCCCTCATAACTATTAAATAGTTCCTAAATGGACTGTTAACTTCAGACCCGAAATAGTGGCTTTAAGCTCAGGAAGCCAATCAAAGGATTACGGACGTAAAGCAGTTTATTTATTAAAGACCCCACCCTGAAAAGCCGGATGCGTGTGCAAAGGCACTTGAGACATTCGCCCATTCGGCCACATAACGCATACTAAACGATCATTAGGTGGACCCCCAAAGCAGTGGTCCCCATCTTGTCGCACATTTCGCATCAAATTAACACACAAATTTTTACAACCGAGCCCATAAAAAGCGCCCGGGCTCAACTATAAAAACAATCAAAACGAGTAACAGACCCGCCAATTTTCTTAGGTTTTTTCCCTCGCCCATGTCGTAAATTTTAACCCGCCCGCGTGCCCGATTCCACATAACTTCTTTACAGCGGTAGTAAATCATAAAAGGGGGGTAAAAAAATAAGAACGCCACCCGAGAAGGGTGGACAAACATTAAAAGTTTAATAAAAATAAATAAACGGATAGAGTGCAAGAGGCACCTGGAGGAGCTGCTTAATTAAAGCCTGCACTCACCTGCTCCTGTTTTCATCTTTATCCTTATCCCTTTTGCAGGTTCAAGAGCCGCACGGTGAGATGCCTGGCCTCGGCAACGTATATTGTGCGACAGATCTGCAACCTGGGCATCACCGTCTACACGCCCAGCGTGGCCCTCTCGACGGTGATTGGCATACCCTACTGGGCCTCCATCGTGGGCATGGCCATCATTTGCATATTCTTCACCATTATGGTAGGTTGCGGGAATGCCAGCGATTTAATGATGGAAATATTTAAATTCCCTTTCACCCCTGTGCACCGACTCATTAGGGCGGCCTGAAGGCGGCTATCAACGCGGACGTTATCCAGACACTGACCATCCTCGTTGTCACGGTGGCCGTCTGCATCCAGGGAACCATCTCGACGGGCGGCGTGAAGAAGGTCTACGAACTAAATCGGGACAATGGTAAGCCATCAGTTGGTCGGGGATTTGCTTCGATTGATCATGGCAGCTTATTAGCCAGCTGCCAGGATGTGTGTGCGCGTGTGTGTATAGTGCTGACGAATGATGACTATTAAAATGGCATCCATTGTGGGATGCTACATCTACTGCTTCTGTTTCTGCGCCGGCTCATTATGCACATAAATGATGATGATAAAAGTGGCATAAAACAGCGGCATCCGAATCCGAGGGGGCGAAGGAAATGGCAGCCTCGCATGACGACAGTAATAAATGTGTGTCGGCAAAGCGTTTGTCACTCGAGTTTGAGTTGTTGGCTGTCATTGTGCGGCAATCGTGGGGCTCCTGGGAATGCCTCCACATGCTGCTCCTGCTCCTCCTTCTCAGCCATGCACTTGCACTAAAGACACCATCCCTTCTATTCCCGCCAGGACGCCTCAGCTTTTGGAACTTCACGGGCGACATGACTGTCAGGGTGGATACCACATCCGCTTGGCTGGGGCAGCTGTTCATGTCCCTTTCGCAGATCGGTTGTCAGCAGAACTTTATGCAGCGCTATGTCAGTCTCAAGTCGCTGAAGGAAGTGCGTCGGTAAGTAGTGGCTGCAATCAGAAATCATATTTACCAAAAAATCGAATATTAACAAAATATCTCTTACAGAGTAATGCTGACCAATGTGCCTCTGGTGTTCTTTTTCTTCTCCCTCTCCTGGATCTCCGGCATGGTTATCTACTCCTCGTACATCAACTGCGATCCCTATGCCGAGGGCTACATCAAGAAACCCGATGAGATTCTGCCCTTCTTTGTGGAAGATCAGCTGGGTTTCCTGCCCGGCTTTGTGGGTATATTCATGGCCACTCTTTTTAATGGCGCCCTTTGGTAAGTATTGTATTTTATGGAAGGTTATCCCATCTAATTCGAGCCTATATCCCAGCATTATGGTCTCCAATCTTAACTCTTTGGCCACCGTTGTTTGGGAGGACTTTGTGTCCCAGTTTCCCAGGTTCAAGGGTCTCTCCGACCAGCAGCAGCTGGGAATTCTGAAGACAATCACCGTGATCTGTGGCCTGATTATCATGTGCGTGGCCTTTGGTGTTGGTTTGCTGGCTGGCGTCATTGAATCCTCGCTACTGGTTTTCTCGGCCACCTCGGGACCCCTGTTAGGCTGCTTTATCCTGGCCATGTTGGTGCCGATTGCCAATTGGAAGGGCACTTCCGCGGGCATGATCACCGCCTGCTCCTTTGTGCTGTGGATCATCGGCGGTAGCATGACCATCACCAAGCACAATCCTATGTTGCCCACCAGTACGGATGTAGGTTTATAGAGGGCTCTTTTTGGGAATTTTATCTCATATTTCTGTCTCTTCTTGATTTCGTAGGGCTGCTCCAATGATACCTTCTCGCAGTCCATTGGCAAGCCCATTGTGGAGCCGGGACAGATGCCCTGGCTGCTGACGCACACGCCTGTGGATGGCTATAACCAGAGCTTTGTGCCCACGCCACCCACGATTGCACCTGAAAGGTAAGGATAATCAATTATTATACCCGTGACTCATAGAGTAAAAGGGTCTGTCTGTCTGTTCGTCCGTATGAACGCTGACATCTCGGAAACTACAAAAGCTAGAAAGTTGGGATTACCCACACATCATCTTGAACTTCCTACGCAGCGCAAGTTTGTTTCAGCCGAGGGTCACGCCCCCTCTAACGCCCACAATCGCCTTAAACGATTTGAAAAGGTGTCTGGAGCCCACACCTTAAAATATTTCGGAAAATTATAAATACAGTTTTATTGTCTTTAAAAATACCTATCGAAGTGTAGAAGGAATTTTTCAAATCGGACCATTCGTTAAAAAGTTATGCACGTTCAAAGATGTAGATCTCCATTTTCCTCACTCCCTTTAGCTGAGTAACGAGTATCTGATAGTCGGAGCACCCGACTCTCTTGTTTTTAACTGGAAATTAACCTAACGTTAAATACCCATTTAGATCCGGACTGGATAGCTTCTACTCGATCAGCTTCATGTACTACAGCTTGATTGGAACCGCCTTGACCGTGATAATTGGCACAGTGATCAGTTGGCTGACCCAGCATCCGGATGACGCCTACGATGGCAAGCTGCTGCATCCGATGATCTTCCGGCTGTGCGAGCGCTTCTCGGGCCCTAAGCCGTACTATGTGAAGCACGAGGAGGAGTCCGGACTGAACGGACGCAGCAGCAGCGATTCCTCGGCCACGACAACGACCTGCAAGGAGGAGAAGGTCAATCATGGCTACGAATCGTCGCCGGAGGAGAAGGAGAAGAGCAGTCCCATTGCCGTGGTCTTCACCACCACGTCGGAGGGCAAGGGATCTGCGGATCAGCAGTCCATATGCGATGCAAGCCGGATCCAATTGGACATTGTGCCCGGAGAGGGCGAAACGGGCGTTTATCGCCAACTGGCCGGACGATCGGCGCTCTGAGGGCTAACTGAATACTACGTACTAGGCTTAAGTAGATAGTTAGCTCCACCACTTAGTCTGTAGCCTGTAAGCTAAGCCCTAGGATAGACCAATTAGTTAGCCAAGTGTTTCACGTCTATAAAGATGCTGTGATTTCTGTGCGCGACTGTTGTTGAGCAATTGCTCGCGCATTTGTAGCAACTCGAGTTTCATTCGCATGTACTTACCGCATGTGTGTGTGCGTGGCAGCGTGCAATAAATAAAGACAAATAAACGTATTTTTATACAAAATCACACGAAGAACTATACTTATTTCTAACGATTTTCAATTTTGGAGCGCGTTGTAAACTTGGCCAGTGCTGCCAATCACGATGCCTATCGATTGGCCTCGGGAGCTGCCAACCGATTTCATATACCAGTGTGGAACTGCTCACTCATACAACTATCGATAAACTTAAACTTAAAGTTTATTATTAAGCTTTTTTTTTACTTTTTTATATCATACGAAAAACAATAAATACGTATAATTAAACATTTTTTTATTTATGGGACGGTCCACTTTATTTTACTTCTGCTGGAATCAAATAAATATCTCTATTGACAACCACATAATAAATAAAATATAACTAAAAAAATAAATAATTTCATTCGATTAAAAAATATCCATATGAAATGGGACTTACAACTATTATTTTTTATTAGGCAAAATATAAAATAAATTCACTACATAAATCTCTCTTAAAATGTTACTTCGATTCACTACTTATGCTAGGTATATGAACAAATATTAAATATTAAATGAAATAATTTAACAAAAATAAAAACATCCGTGCGATAACTATCGTGACTGCTCGTGACCGCTCACAGCTGTTCTCGCGTTCCCCCATCCCTATTAGATTTGTGGGGTTTTTGTTTGGCGGTGCTGCGTCCCCGAAGAATGCACAAATAAAACGCAAAAAGCTAGGGCCTTGGAAAATCGAATGTGAATCATGGCCACGCTGGTGAAGCCCAAAAAGGAGGTGAGTCCTCGGCACAAATACAAGTTACCGGCAGTAAAACGCCCTAATCCAATTGCAGAAGAACAAAAGGTCTCGCCACTCGGGGCAGATCCAAAAAGAGGAAGAGGAGGAACATGCTGAGTTATCAACAAGTGAAGAACAAAGACCTGCGGAGAATGTGTCGCTGCTGGAGGAATTCGAGCGAGTGGCGGCCTTGGCCAGCAGTTCCAGTGGCGAGGCAATCATCACCACCGAGTGCAGCATCTCCAGCGAGGTGAGGGAAGCGCCGGAGATGCCGGAGGAGCAGGAACAGGAATCCCAACCCAGTGCCCCAAGTGCCCCGCCCGCGACGACCACTCACATCGTCCAGTACCCCAATCTGCAGCCCATACAGTTATCCAACGCCCAAGTGGAGGAGCAGTCCGCCAAGATCGTCTACCGCCAGGCGCTGCAGGCGGAGTCACCCACCGGTTTTGCTCTGACCAGGAGTCACATCAAGCCACTGAGCACCGAGCAACTGCGGCAAATCTACGATTGCCCCGATCTGGAGCTGGCCAAGCAATTTGAGCTCGAGTTCCTCATGAACTCCCTGCTGGAGTCCAGCGAATCGGATCCTCTATATGCGGCCGTTTTGGAATACTACGAACTGCAGGGCAAGATCACCTCCAATCTGCACGATGTGGAGAAGATGCGCAAGGGCTGCACGGAGTCGCAGAAGCAAATCTGGGTGCGCCAGCCAGTCACGCGTACTTTTAGTGGAACCTGCGGAGATGGCAACGCGGTCCAGGAGAGCATCACCTACGAGTAAGTAATATTGGACATAATTCTGCATTTGTAGAAGAGATTCTAACCATTTCCCCCGCAGTCAAATCAAGGTGGATCCCATTAAACTAGAACTGGCCCAGACTGCATTGACTGGCCTCTATGACCTGGTTTGTCATACCTACACCAACAACCTGATTACAGCCAAGATAACCAAAGTGAAGGTGGACCAAATCATCAACGATCTGCTGGCCTATCCAAATGCAGATGGACAAACGGCGATTTCATTGCATCACTCACAAACTGGAGAGGCTCTGGAGTGCGTTTCCCAACTGAGGCGGGCCATTTCCATACTCTTCAGCTTCGTTCGACGGCCAAGTCCCAATGGGGTAATTGAAACTGCAGATATCTCTCGAAAAATTCATCTGATTATGTATTTTACCTACAGAACTTTGACAAGGACCTCAAAGATTGGCTGCGCAGGCTGATTGCCCTGCAGCTTTTGCTGGCCACCAAGGAGGATCACTGGTTCCTGCTGTTCAACATCCTGCGCTGCCCCAATGGCGTCGGCTCCTGGGCCGCCCAATTCCTGCAGCTGCCCGGAACGCAAACGGTGGCCAAGGGTTCCCAACAGAACCAGCTGCCGCTAGACCTCAACTCTCCCGAGCTCAATCACTGCATGGCCGTGCTGCAGATTCTGCTGATGCCGGTGAAGAAGCGAAACGAGTATCTCAAGAGTCAGGCCCAAGCACACCGAGAACTTTCGGATGCGGCGGGAGCCACGGATCGCTGGATAGTGGTGGATTCCGATGGCGAGGACTCGCATACACCGGCTGGCGAATGCATAGGACTGAAGGAGAGCGATCTGATTGCACTACTTAACCAGTTGCCTTTCGAGAGGATCTTTACGTAAGCTAGAAATTCTTCTTAAATGAATTAAAGTTAAAATATATTTATTCTTAGCTCTGCCCTGCGCATTGAGAAATTCCTGAACGACTACATTGTCGAGCCGGATATGATCACTGCCCAGCAAATGCTCGCCGTAGTTGTGTTCTTCTCCCAACTGGTCAAAACAATGGGCGAAGGGTTGCTGACCTACAACAACGAGCGATATAAGCAGCTGGCCAAGCGACTCGGTCGTTTGGTGCGTCACACCCTGCAATACGTTTTTGATTACCACGAATTGTTCATGTGAGTAGTTCTGTAATATTAGTATAGAATATTATACTATTTTTTTATAAAGTTTAAAAATGCCGATTTGCAGAAAACCGCGAATAAAATATTTTTTTAAGTTTGGACCATATTTTGCACTGAAACCATTATGGCTGTTATTTTTATCTGAAAGCTTGGCCAAAATAAAATTTTTTGGGTATTTTTATTTATTTTTTAGCCCACGTAATTTAAAATTATAAATGAATTACACAAAAAATAGCATCGCCATATCTTCGCTTCTGTCAAGTGGATTTTTTTTAACTTTTTTTAAAAATCCTTTTAAATAAGTTTGGAACCATTATGGGTATTATTTATATCTGAAATCTTGGCAAAAAAAATAATTTTTGGGTATTTTTATTTATTTTTTACCCCACGTAATTTAAAATTATAAATTAATTAAACAAAATCGATTATTTTTTTAACTTTTTTAAAAATCCTTTTTAAATGGTATGATAGTGTCATAAAAATTAGATATCGTTTTGAAACCATGAAGAAAATCTCGATACGTTTCGCAAAGAATCACTCATATATTCCTTATATTTATTTAAAATCATTTCTGTAGAAACAACAACCTGTCCAAGTCCCCGGAAATGTACGAGCGCATCCAAGTGGAGCTGCAAGCACTGCTAATTCGCGCTTGTGGCTACATCTATCGCACTAGAAACCTCGGCACCTGGCAGTACTTTTCCACCCTGCCGTTCGGCACCTTGGATGCCGAGGTCATCTGGCACTTGTTCTACTACCTAAATGTGGGTTTTCCCACGGATTTGGCCAACGATTTGGTGAGCAATGCGGAGGCTGCCTTCCAGGCGGAGGACTTCTGGCCAAAGTTCGATCTGGCCAATGCCGATGTGGCGCCCGAGGATATGTACTACCTGCTGCAGACCTTCTTCGAGATGGCCAACGATCGGAATCGCTCCAAGGATGGTGCCCTGGTCAAGGCCATCTGCCTGCACATCTTCCACATTGGATACATACATCAATCCACGAGGGAGATTTGCTATAAAACGGCGCGCGACATGCTGGCCAACTTGATGGACGAGGATCTCTTGGGCTGTCTGCTGGTTCACCTGAAGATGCGATACGGCGAAGTCGATCAGGCGGCGTATCTTTTCAAGGCTCTGCCACTGGAGAACTGGCACCCCAGGATGGACAGCTTTGAGGTGCTCTCGAACTGGCTGCTCCATTTTGACTACCAATCCTCGGAGAGTCATTTGGCGCGCCTGATCATCAGTCACCTAAACTGGGGATTGGATTGCGAGGGACGTCTCTTTCTGCCCCACAACATTCATGTGAGAATGGCCCATTTGGTGAATGAGGCGTTAAACAAGTATGCTCCCGAGGTCATCGGAGCCTCTGGAATCTCAGAGAGCGTTCGTCAAGTGTCCTCGCTGATTGACTCCACGCAATCGAGTCGGGAACAGTTTACCAACTGGTGCTGGCGCATGGTCTCTGTGCTGCGTCTACACCTGATGGATCAGGGAGTAGAGTCAGTTAAGCGCACGCTTCAGCATCCCACGGAACCGCTTCTTTTTATTCCCGAGCTGGAGCGCATGGAAATGATCTTCCAAGGCGTAAACGAGAATCGCCCGCTGGCTCTGTATGTGGGCATGCTGGTCAGCTTGCACGGGCACTCCATTCCGCTGATCTGCCAGCACGGGTTCAATCTTCTCCAGCAGCTGCTTCTCGATCACCGACACGCGGCCGCCATTCGCTGTTTGGAGCTGATAGTTCCGCTGTTTTTGGAAACTCCAGAAACTCTGGCGAATTGCGAAAGGTAAGTTTGTCCATCTAAAATAATTTTATCAATTGTTACAAGTTTTTTTAATAGTTTCCAGAGACTTTTGATTACCCTACTGAATGCAGACAGAACTTATTTGAAGCTGGCTAAGGACATGGTCTATGCTAATTCGATTGGCCCCATTCTGGAACTTCTGGACAACATGCTGCATCATCAGATTGTGTCGTATACAAAGTAAACTTAAATTAACTATGATAATATTTAAAATACTAATCCTTTTTTATTGTTTTACCTTAGCTACGGTCTATGCTCACCACTTAATCTCCTTAACATCTGGCTTAATTGCTTTACCACACTGCCAGGATGGTCTCAGAACTCGAATCTGTTGTATTTACTGGACAGAATGCTACGTATTTCCTACCAGTTTCCCGACTGTCGAGCCCAGGCTGTGGAATTTTTCTACAATTATTACAAAGTAACTAAGCTATGCAATATATATAATTTCAATTACTAACATTATTTGTTATCTTAATTTAAAGGACTGCACAGACTGGAAGTCAGCCCCCAAGGGATCAGCTTTAAAGGCATTTTTCGGCGGTCAATCTCCTTCTCGAATCCCTTTGATTTCGCCGCAGAACTGCTGGCTGAACTTGGTGCTACTTGAGATTGAGTTCCGCCTGGTGGACACGCGCATCTTCCCTGAGCTTTTGCGTCAAGTTTCCGCCCAGCCAGTGGAGGCGGCTCTCAAGAAAACTCTCTCGTTGAGCAAAATCAACGCCTTCCCCGCCAGCCAACTTGTGATATTTAAATACGCTCAACTGCTGGCCAGCATGGACAGCAATCACGCCTTGTTCCCCATCGTCTGCCAGAAGTTTTTCGAGCTCTATCTCTGGCGAGTTCCCACGGAAAACGAATCGCTTAACTTTAGCCACAATTTTGGGGTTTCCGACAAGTTCTACGAACACAGTGTGCCTTTAATGAAGAGTATTAAGTCCCAATTGAAGTCTGCCGAGTCGTATTACTCGGCATTGGCCACCAAAAGCGCCAGTGACGATGCCATGGCCCACTTCTATCGAAGCTGTCACAAGCTTATGCAAAACTGTGCCCTCTGGCTGGAGGATACGCAAATTAATCGCTTTACCAGTGATGCAGAGCAGCTGCCCGCGCAGTACAATTCGGAGAAACTGCGCGAGCTGTTGAGTGGTCATGTGAACCACTGGACGGAGTTCCTGTGCCTCGCATCACTTCGCAAGGAGCAACGCCTTCAGGCTGATCAGTGGGGCCGAAAAGTAATGAGACTTCCGAACCAAAAGGCCCCCCGAACTCCAGTTCAACCAAAGCCGCGACAGCAGCCCGCCCAGCATATCAAAAGTCTGTTGAATAGCTACGAAAAGGTGGTCGAGAATCCGATTCATGTTCGTGTGGAACCCATCCAAACGCCAGCCATCGATGGAACTATTATGACGCAGCTTAAGAAGCGTTTAAACACGTTCAACTCAACGGCGAAGTAAGGAATATATTCTACTATTTATCTTGAACAAATTAAATCTAATACTTAACTACTTTTAGCACATACCATTATAAGACTTCCGAGTTGAATTCACTGAACCTCAACTATTTGGAAAGTGTGCCTGCTCTGTACCAAATGATTCCTTATAAAGAGACCCGGCGAAAGGAGTGTACATCGCTGCTCTTCAAGCGGAATTGTACAGCTGCCGCTAAAATCACGCTGACACCGGAGCACATTCGAATCAACGAGGTTATATCACGAAAACAAACGCAGAATCGAGAGCGACATGACAAAATAGTTGAGGATTTGCTGTTGGCCTTGAATGTGGATGCCTTTGCCCAAGCCATTGAGGAATTTGGCGTCTGTATCGGTGCCATTCTGGTGGCCCCGATGGAATCGAAAGTCACGCAGATTGGAGTCCAGGTGTTCTATCATCTGGTGGAGAACCTAAACGAGGTGACAATGAAGTTCCAGCCAACACATGACCTGTACTTTCAAGTGCTAGAGAAGTTAGGGGTGAGTAAAATATTAAATGGATATAGATATGTTTTATTAACACTTTTTTTCTTAGGTATTCCTGCAAGCAGATCAGGCTGCACAGGGATTGGTTGTTCTTCGACTGGCTCTAACGCGACCAGATCTCTTGGAACTGCTGGCCGGAGTCTTTGTGCCCAGCCGCACTGACGTGGAGCACTTTTTGCCCGTGTACGAGTTCCTCATCGATTCTCATCTCAAGCGATGCGATACACAAACACTCTTTGTGCTCTTCTCCAAATTCGACCTGCTGGGTTGGATGGAGGCCTATCAGCCGAAGCTGAGCGAGATCAATCGTCTGCTAGTGCTGGTACTTCAGGGATTAGAGGCCTGGTCTCAGCCGGATAGCAGCCTTCTCCAGGATCAATTCCGCAGGCATCTGGTACACATCTTTGGCTACGATTTTCCACAGCACTACGGCGAGGTGATGCAGCTGGTTTTGGACCGCACATCGGACCAGAAACTGATGCCCGAGGTGCTTTTGGACCTGCTGAACGCTTTGTTCGTGCGTTCCAACTGTCCGGAGTTGACTTTGGAGCAATCGGAAGTGCGGGTGCATGAACTCGCCTTGGACTTTGCCCGGCGACAAAAGCTATTCACGCTCAAGGCGGCCACGGACACGCTTTTGCTCTTGTCCCGCCACTTCCAGAAGGAGCGACTGCATCATGGTCTGCATGGCTTGTATCCCAAGCACAAGGATTACTGTCAACCGCTGGTCCTTTGGTTCACCTGTTTCGGTCACACACTCCTGGCCTCGGCCATTTGCAGCTATCAGGAACTTCTGGCTGATCAGAGTGAGTAAAATGATTGTATCCTTTGATTTTATATTTAATCTCTTTTCTTTCAGTCAGCGATATTGTGTTTGGATCCATTGTGGAGACGTACGGCCCCTGGCTAATCCCCTACACCGAACAGACGGTCAGTGGCGTGGCCCACTGGATCCGCCAGCTGACTCCCGGTCAGAGCAAAGTGCTGTTGCCTTGGAGCGATCAGCATGTGAGCAGCAGCAAACTCATGATCCGTTCCTTCGTGGCCACCGTACTGCAAGTGCTGCAGTATCTGCCGTCGTCTAATAAGATTCTGGAGCACGTCTTCGCCTGGTATGTCCATCACTTCGCCCAGCCCAACATAGCGGGTCATGTGTTGGCTCCCATCCACGAGGGATTGGCCCTGTTGCCCTGGGAACGCTTCCTTCCACCAGCACAGCATGTGGACTTGCTGTACGATAGTCTGCAAAGATTCTTACCCGAATCACATGCCATGCTGGGTCACATATTCATTCGGATTGACTGGGACAACTGGTTTGCCCTGATGCCACAGCCGGTGCCACTTCTCTCTCGACTTTTCGGCACCTTCGTGAAAATAGCCTTCGAACCGAATATTCATATACATCCCAATACGAGCAAAATTCTCGAGGACGCCATTCGTTATCCGTGGCACCTGGTGGAATACAGCGAGCTGGAGCAGCTGCTCAAGTGGTTTGTGGCCAGCGTGGAGCCAGCCATTGCCCTAAAGCTACCGGCAGAGAGCAACTATGCGGATCGCGCTGTTTTGGAGTAGGTTCAGTTGAATGAATTTGAATTAATTTATCAAAAAACTATCCAATTCTATAGACTCCTTCGCTTGGCTTGTGCCATGTTGCCGGAACGCTCAACTCAGGATGCTGTTGTCTTGGGTACAGCGAAGCGCATGCTCTACACCCGCTCCATGGTCAGGATGCAGAGAGCCTGCGGGGCCAAGCACAAGAAGCTGCTGGCCACAAAGGAGGGCGAGCGAGCCTTTAGCGACGCCTTTCTGGAGCTCCTGAATAGCATCGATCGGGCCATCAGCAGTTGCAGTGAGCATCGAACGCCCGAGGAGCAGCGCAGGGAAGCACTTAACTTGATGCTGGAGCTGGTGGCGCCCACCCAAACGCAGAGTCAGGAAGTGTCCAAGTAAATAATATTTCAAAAGCCTTTTCATTTTATGAACTTCCTAACTAATTAACCATTTTTAGCATCCACATTAAGGCTCTTGTTTGGTGGCAGCAGCAATCTGCTCCTGGCAACCTGGTCATGTGCTCCACCCTTCCAGCCATCGGCCATTTGAACACGTACATCGCCAGCATTTATGCGCTACTGGAGGCCAGTATAGAGAACTACTTCCGCACCTCGCCGGAGAGTGCTCCCTGGCATGCGCCCAGCTGGCAGGGATTGATGGAGGCACTGAGCATGTCGCTACCAAAACTGGACCTTATGCCCATCATGCAGGGCAGCTACTTCTTCTCATTGCACGTTTTCGTGGTCTACAAGATGGAGGAGATCGCGACGGATGGCGACAAGGTGACCTTCTTGCAGGATCTCAGCCAGCTGCTGGAGAACCTGAAGACCAGCCCACTGACCGAACCACGAATGGCCCTCGTTTGGGGCGTGATCATTGCGCGGGGCTGCCAGGTTGCGCAGAGCAACCAGCAGGTGAAGAAGCCACTTCACATGCTGGCCAGGCACTTGCAAATAGCCTCAACCAAAGCCGAGGGCTGGGGCGATGGTCTACTGGGCGTGATTGGTCTAAAATCGGAGGTTATTACCAACAGGTGGGTTGTTCAGAATAACTTTTAAAACCATCATTATATTCCCTATTTCATTGCCAGGCGCAAAGTTTTAACCCGTTGCTTGGCCTGTGTCATCTTCTCACTGTTTCCGGCCAATCGGGACCTGCGTTTGCCATCGGAGGAGTACGAAAGCGCACTTCGTGAGCTGTCTATGCTGCTGGCCAACAAGAAGTTCACCGACATCAAGCCCCTGATCGTCCGCGCAGTCAGCCTGCTTAAGGAAAACACCTTTCCCGACATCCGGGCCGTTCCCCATATGGTCTGCCGTCTAATCAGCATCTTCTACGAGCAGAGCTACCTGACAACCATTCCAGAGGTCTGGGACTTTGAATTCAAGCTGATGGCTACGTAGCTCACCGACCATGCGAACAATTGTAAACATCCTAACAGCCAGTTGTGTTATTTTCCAGGTGTTGTATATCATCTAACTAGGTTTAGGGCAAATAAAGTTATTCAATTTGTGCAATTTTTAAAATGGCATAAAAAGGTAAACAAGTCTTTTCATCTTTTAGACTATAACTTTATTGGATATACATATCTAGAAGGTGCATACTTGAAGCTATTCGTTTAAGCGTAGTTACAATAACAATCTAGAAATCAGTTAGATATTTGCATTAATTTAACACTGATCAGGATCATCGACAATCGTGACAATTTAATAATACAATTGAATGAACTTTAAACTAAATATAAATACGTAGGGCTAGACGAACGATAACAAGTGAACATTAAAGGTCTACTCTTGGGTATTGCTACATGAAAATATAAATAACGATAGGAATAGTGCTCGCTGAAACGGAGGCAGCCGGGCTCCGCTCGGGCAGTCAGTCTTCCATGGCGAAATTGGACAGCTGCAGGTGCTGAAGGTTGTTGCGCGCATCGAAATAGCCCGTGTCCGTGGGATTGTCGGGTGTGGGCACAAACGGTGGCTCCGTATTGCCGATATTCTCCCAGTCGATGCAGGCGAAGTGCCGCATCTGCTGCACCTCCTTGGCGGCCGGTCGCTCGTTGGGATCCATGGTCAGGAGCAGTTCCACAGCTTCCATGGCATCGACGGATAACGCCTCTTCGCCCTCTGGCCATTCGATGTCTGCAAGGTATTAGTAAGAAGAGATTAGATATAACAGGTTTAAGGTAACTTTATAAACCAACTAGAGCCCTGAGTGAATCATTCAATTTATGTTCTATCAAAGTATGCCTTGAAATTCCTGATTTGTTTAATTCAATTTTATGTGAAATAAATTGAATGTTTTTCTAATTCATTTCGAATTGAATGAACGAATGAATAATTTTTATAAATTATTTAAATTTGCCAGATTTTTTTTGTGCTTTTTTTGAGAACAAAAAGTGGAACATTTTTAACAAATCAATGTAAACTGCTTAGTAAATAAAATTCAGGCAGATTTAATCACAAAATAATGGCCCTTTCTTCAAAAAAAAATTGTCGTTTAAATTATTTTGGAATTCATGCCATTCATCCATCCAATTCTATTAAACTCAAAATTCAAATTCATTCAATTCTATAAAAAAAATTCAACATAATTCATTGAATCCATTCATGCAGGGCTCTGAAACCAACTTACTTTTATTCAAAATGTTGTCAAATACTTTTTGAGGCGTCTCGTCGTTGAAGGGTGGAATGCCGGTCATGAACTCATAGAAGCAGACTCCCAATGCCCACCAGTCGACGGCAGCACCGTGTCCTTGCTTCAGCAGCAGCTCCGGAGCCAGATAGTCGGGCGTTCCCAAGATGCGTTCGTTGGATACGCGAGCCCCTCGCCTTACCGACTTGGGGGTGCGGAATGGTGTATTGATGTTCACGTTCTTCGGCGTCTTTGGCAGGTTGCCGGTCCCATGGTTTATGGGCGACATTGTGGGATCGTCGGACAGCTTGAGGTGATACTGAATCCCCGACATCTTATCGGCAGCCGCGTGCTCGCGCTTTTTGTTCTCAATCGAGAGGGGCAGAGCAAAGCGTGTGGCCTTTAGCTTTCCCAAAAGACCGCCATCTCGACGCGGCAACTTTTGCGAGGAGACGGGCGTGGAGAAGACCACATTGGCCACATTCGCCTCCGGTCCAAGAAGATGGTTTATGGGCAGCTCGTCGTCCGATAAGGAGCGCACCTTGAGCACTCCGCGAATCGGCGAGGAACGGGCCTTGCGCTTCTTGGGCGTGCTGCTGCCAATGTTGAGGATCTCGATCTCCTGCGTTAGTCCGGTGTTGGCACTGCCGTTGCCCGAACTGGAGCCATCGGCCTCCATGCTGGACATGTTGTCGGAGCGGTTGACCAGGTTGATCTTCCGCTTCATGCCGCGCAGGAAGTCGGGACGCTTGAAGTGCTTGGACAGGTTGCGAAATGGCGAATGGATGCCGCTCATCTCGTTGCCATTGGTCATGTTATAGCTACGCGAGTAGTCCGAGCAGCTAAAGTCCTCCTTGGATTGGCTCAGGTTCTCCGCATTCTTCTCAATCGACGAGGCTGTGCTCTCGCTGTTCAAGTTCAGGTTACAGCTGGAGTAGTCGTCGCCCTTGCGACTCGACACGCCCGAATCCTCCTGACCCTTCGAGAGGCGATTACGCTGAGGAAATGAGTCGGGAAAGCAGTTAATTGATTGAAGTACAATTATGGCAAGGTTATACAAATATAATGTTAATACAGAAAGGAAAACAGGACAGAACACATATGCACATGCCAACGCACCTCGTCGACCGATCGCCTGCGCACCATGGAGAACTCAAACGAAGCCTCGCTTGCGTTATCCAGCTTGGGCAAGTGTTTGCCTCCATTGGTGGCCATGTTGCCGCTGTCCTGCTCGGCCAGCTTGCAGCCCTTTTTTTAGAGAGTCAACCGTTTATGCAAATGAGTACAGAGATTACTAGTTTGGCCTGTTATCTAGCCACTTACCTGGCAGGGAGCCACATCCAAGGCGAATTCCACGCGCCGCTTGCTGGGAATCACTTCCGCTGCAGCAGCACCATCTCGAGGAGCTTCTAGTGGTGGCGAGCACTTGCTCAGGTCAGCCGAGTTGCAAGTGTGGAATGAGCAGGAGGAGCTGCTGTCCTGGGGCTGGATAAGCGAATAAGAAATGTGTGTTTTTAAAAAGATTATAACTTAAGGCAAGTTAGTGTCCCGACTATCTAACACCAGTCACTCAGCTAAAGGGAGTGCGAGGAAGATGGATATACAACATTTTTTTGATTGCGCATAACTTTTTCACGAATGGTCCGATTTAAAAAATGTCTCCTACATTTTGATAGGTATAAATATAGACAATAAAATTGCATTTATACTTCTCGTAAATCTTTAAAGGTATGGGCGCCAGACACATTTTAAATTCGTTAGTGGGCGATTGTGGGCGTGGCGCTCGGCTAAAATAAACTTGCGCTGCGTAGGAAGCCCAAGAATATGTGTGGGAAATCCCAACCTTCTAGCTTTTGTAGTTTCCGAGATCTCAGCGGTCTCAGACGGACAGACGGGCATATCTAAATCGACTCGGCTAGTGACCCTGATCAAGAATATATATACTTTATGGGGTCAGAAACGCTTCCTTCTAGCTGTTACATACTTTTGCACGAATACAATATATAGTAACGGGTATACAAATCACTTGTTTAGGGAAAGAAGTTCCTCATTTGAAAGTGAGTGGGTTAAAATATTAAAAATGCGACTCCATATACCCACATTGTTGGCGGTGCACGTATGGGTGATGGACTCGTTGGCCTCCTCGGCGGAGAAGAAGGGCGACACTCCGGAGATCTTGCTGTCGCTGGTCTTCTCGGCATCATTCAGCGAGGTGTCGCCCTCGCTGTCCGACAGCTCCATGATCAGGCTGTGCTTGTTGATGGCCTGCAGGAGGTGCGACGTGCCCGTGGCGGCCGAGCCCATTCCGTTGGCCTGACCAACGGAACCGAAGTCCTGCAGCTTCTTCTCGGAGCCAAAGGACAGGTGCGAGGTGAGCGACAACAGTTGGCCGGGCGTGCGGGCATTCAGATTCGGCGAGCAGTTGATGAGGTCCGAGATCTCCAGATCTCGTCGCATATCGATCTTGCTCAGCCCAAAGTCGGTGAGCTTCACATGGCCACTGGCCGAGAGCAGCATGTTGTCCGGCTTGATGTCCCTGTGGACGATTCCGTGCTGGTGCAGGTACTGCAGGGCCATCACCATCTCGGCCACGTAGAAGCGGGAGGTGGTCTCGTCAAAGTACCCGAACATGGCCAGCAGCGACTTGAGATCGCCGCCCACCATGTACTCCATCACCAGGTAGACGTAGGACAGCGATTGCAGCGAGTAGAAGAGGCTGACGCAGAACTCGGATCGGGACAGGGCCAAAGCGTTCCGCTCGGTGATCACCTGGGACACCATATTCTTGTTTATCATCTCCGACTTGCGCATCACCTTGATGGCGAACAAACGCTTCGAGTCGTTGTTCTTGTAGCCCAGGAACACCTTTCCGAAGGCCCCGCGACTAATGGGCTTGATGATGACAAAGTCCTTGATCGTGGGAAGCTGTAGTGGGAAAGGAAATGATTTTAGAATTGTGGATTTTTTAGAAACAAAATTAAAAATATAGAAAATTTTATTACATTTAATTTGGTTATTACAAATTGTAGGAGATGGAATACATGATACATATATTTGGTAGTATAAAGTTATTTTCAAATTCCAATATTAAAAAAGTTATTAGAAAATATTTCAAAAAAAAAAAAAAAAAAAATCTAGAAAATCTACGATTAAAAACACATTTTTTTATTACATTTATTTTGGTTATTACAAATTGTAGGAGATGGAATACATAATATATTTGGTAGTATAAACTTATTTTCAAATTCAAATTCAAATATAAAAATAAAAAAATTATTACTAAAAGATATTTACAAAAAAGAAAACAAAACAAAGAAACAAAATGTAAAAATATAGAAAATCTACGATTAAAGACACCTTTTTTTATTACATTTAATTTGGATATTACCAGTTGTAGGAAATGGAATTTAAGTTATTTTCAAATTCCAATATAATAAAAAAAAATTGATTAATTAACTGGAAATATGGATATTTACAAAACAAAATAATAAACAAATTGTAGATATTAGGGTTAAAGCAATGGAATCCATTACATATGTTGTCTTTGTCATGAAAAACTCCCAACAAAAGAGAATGTAAAATAAGGAAGGAATGGGAAATGGACGGAAAACTACTGTAAAATGCTTTTTGATTTGCGACTGGAATTAATATGGATATTTTAAGAACATATAAAAAAAGAATTGGGTTTTTTTATCACAAAATATTTAATATTTCATCTACTATTGATCCTTTTAGCAAGATCAATATTTTTTGGCGCATTTGAAATATTTCAGGACGCAACCGAGCCTAACTGTAAAGCGCCCACGTGTGGTACTCGCAGGTCCAGTAATTCCCCCTTACCTTGGCATTTTGGGAGTGATTCTCCGGCTTGGTGGTGAGGATATTGATCTTATCCAGCAACTGCTCACTGTCGATCAGCGAGTGGGTCTTCTTGGGGGTTTTGTAGTCGATGTGAGCATCCGATTGCGAAATCGCATCGGCGTTTTCCATATCTCCAAGATTTCCGTCGGTCAGAGCGCGCTTTTTACGCGTTATATTTAATGGTATTGGAAGGCAAGTCCCAGATGTATGTCACAATGTTAAATTTAGTGATATTTGCTAGTTTTTATTGCACAAATATGGAATAATAATTCAAAACGACATTTAAAACAGCGCGTCTATTTTCTTCTTTGTGATGGAGGTGGAAAAACATCGATGCGAACATTGATGTCATCGATGTTTTCGACACATCGGTGTTATCGATGTTTGGCAGAACATCATAGGTGTTATTATAATTTCCCAACAATTATTTATATTTGGCAGCTACCGTAGTTATTTGAGGGCATGGTTTCAAAATATAAATTTGATTTATTTATTCATTTTGTGAACATCAAAATGGATGCATTTCTAAATGTGCTCAGTGTGAACACGCCGATATAAATCTGTCGCACATTTATTTCATTTCGATAGTTCTCACTTGCTATCGAATCCAAGCCACCTGGAATTTATTTACGTTCTGAAATTCCTAGTTTTCCGAGGGAAAAGCCGCATCCGCCATCCATGAATGAAAGTGTCCTCCGGATAACGCCCAACTGGATGTGAGCAATGCGCCAGAAGCCGCCGCACACAGCGAGGAGCAGTCAGCTAATCCGACCGTAAAATCCCCGCCAGAATGATGCTCTATTTGCGCCGCCTTTTCAGCCAGGAGCTCGCTCCGGCTGCCCAGGGCGACTTCCTCGGCTGCCTGCAGCAGGCGCCCGGCCTGCTGGCCACCGGATTCCCCGGAGCTCCCGCCCTGGAGAGCCTCAGCTGGTTACACAACCTGGCGCCGTGCTTCCCGCTGCGCGGCGATCAAATTCAGGTCATCCACGAGCCGCAGCACTTCTACGAGACGCTGGTGCAGCGCATCGGCCGGGCCAAGCGCCGGATCGTCCTGGCCAGCCTGTATCTGGGCACCGGGCAGCTGGAGAGCGCCGTGGTCCAGCAGTTGCGTCACAGCCTGGCGCAGCAGTCCGCCCTGCGGCTCAATGTGCTCCTGGACTTTACGCGCGGCACCCGCGGAGCCCTCAACTCGAAGACCATGCTGCTCCCGCTGGTCCGTGACTTTGCCAGCCAGGTGCAGCTCTCCCTCTACCACACGCCCGATCTGCGCGGAATGACCAAGCGCCTGGCGCCGCCGCGTTGGAACGAGCTCCTCGGGCTGCAGCACATGAAGGTCTACCTCTTCGACGATGCGGTGATCATCTCGGGCGCCAATCTGTCGAATGACTACTTCACCAACCGGCAGGATCGCTACATACTCATCGAGGACAAGCCGCTGGCGGATTTCTATGCCCAGTTCATCGAACGGGTGCAGGAGTTTAGCTTGGCCGTGGCGCCGGATGCCAGCGAGGGATTGCATCGCAACTGGCGCATTCTGCCCTACGAGGGCACCAAGGAGCAGTTCATCCAGCTGGCCCGGCAGCGCATTGCCGACTTTGTGCAGGAGACGTTCCAGAGGCAGGCGAAAACGAGGGAACAGAATCCCCAGGCGGACACCTGGGTGTTTCCGCTGCTGGAGATGGGACAGATTGGCATCCATCACGACAGCGTGGTGACCAAGCGGCTGCTCTCCAACTGCGTGACGGGATCGCGACTGAAACTGGCCACCGGCTACTTCAACCTGACGCAGGAGTACATGGACACGCTGACGCACAAGTGCCTGGCCCAGTGCAGTATCCTGATGGCGCATCCCAATGTGAGTTTGTGGGTCTAGTAAGTGATAGAGCCCTGCATGAATGGATTCAATGAATTAATTAGAATTTTGAGTTCAATAGAATTGAATTATTTTGAAAATGGCATGAATTCCGAAATAATTCAAACGACAATTTCTTTTGAAGTAGAAAGGGCCATAATTTGGTTATTAAATCTGCCTGAATTTTATTTACTAAGCAGTTAACATTGATTTGTTAAAAATTTTCCACTTTTTGTTCTCAAAAGAAAGCCCAAAGAAAAACTGGCAAATTCAAAAAATTCCTAAAAATTATTCATTCATTAATTCAATTCGAAATGAATTAGAAAACATTCAATTTATTTCACATAGAATTGAATTAAAAAAATCAGAAATTTCATGGCATACAGGGCTTTAGTAAATTAATATCTAACTTAGATAATTGTTACTTCCAGGCCAATGGCTTTCAGGGCGCCAAGGGACCCGCGGGTGGCATTCCAGCTGCCTACACCCTGATAGCCAAGAGCTTCTACGAGAGCCTCGTGCGCCGCAAGCAGAACCACCGCGTCAACTTCTTCGAGTACGAGAAGCCCGGCTGGACGTACCATGCCAAGGGACTGTGGTATTACCTGCCCGAGGCTCGACTGCCCAACCTTACGCTCATCGGCTCCTCGAACTTTGGCGAGCGATCGGTGAACAGGGATCTGGAGACGCAGGTCTGCCTGGTGACGGCCAATAAGGATCTGAGCCAACGGCTGCAGGCGGAGGCCGATCGCCTCTACGATCTGTCGCAGACGGCGGAGCGGGAAATCGTCCAACGACCCGTGCCGCGATGGGTCCAGGCCGTCGTCCGCATATTCAGGAACTTCTTTTAGGCTCTTCGACATCATACATACATAATAGTTCAATTTTTTCGTTCTTGTTAAGGCCATATCCCAAATAGTTATTGTAGTTCTTAATTCGTGTTTAACCTTTGCCCTGGGCAAGTGAATGTTTCTATTGCTGGTAATCGTTGCTTTTGTACACAGGCTAAAGTTTGTTAACTAATAAAGAGAATTTTTAACGGAGAAGGAAAAATAACACACGTTGTTCTTATCATCGAGGCGATCAAGAGTTCAAATTCATACATGCGGTTGTGAAATATATGCGTTATTAATTTGGTTTTTTAAAGATTAAAAGATTAAAAAACAAATTATTCAGCATTTAAATATTTTCTTATTTTAGCTAAATTTTGTAAATTTTACAGAGAATGATAATTATAATTAAATATTTTACAAAGTTTGAAATCTGAAAGATGTTTTAAAAATTATATTAAAAATGTTTTGATATTAAAATAAGTGGAATTTTAAACCCATACGTAATCCCGCCTATCTGTTCTTAGTGATGGCAGTCCTTACGCATGACGTTAGCAGAAATAGTGTTTTACTACTTTATAACATATTTACACTAACACAAGTTATCGATAATTGAGTAAATGTTTCTCAGAGACGCAAAAAAAAAACGCAATTTTATCACTTCACTAAGCACTATTTTATATTTATGAAAAGCCTATTAAAATGGTTAAATTGTTAAAAGTGCTTCTTCCCTTTTTGCTCATAAGATTTCAATCAAAACAAGCTTTTTCGATTTCTTGAGTTCCAGAAAGTGATGTGACTATACAAAGAAGCCGTTTCACACTTGTTTGAGTCCCTAGTCGATAACGTGGTGATCTCGATACAAGTTCACAATGCAGACCATTTTCCTGGTCAAATGATTATTGCAACGAAATATATAAAAAACTAATATTTTCAAATATCATTATGATATTTTTCAAAAACCAAATATAATCAAAATGATATTTTTAAAAAATTCGACAACCCTAGACTCTATCCATCTCTAACGCCTTCCCTCTAAAAAGACGCCGGGCTGGCTGTCTTCAGTCAGCTGTTTTTTTTCGACCAGGTAAGACCGAGTGCTTACCTGCGTGCCGAGTCGTCGTCAAGTTCGGGAGCGCGTTAAACGTTATGTGCTCGCTCGCCGTGAAAGTTAAATTAAAATAAATCTGATTATCGCCGAGCAAAAACAAAAAAAAAGCTAAGCGCGGCGCGTGCTTACCAAATCGCTAGAGTGTATTAGTGCCAAGGAGGCGATAGTGTTGGTGCTCGACGGGCATGTGTGTGTGTGAGCAGCAGTGAATTCCAAGAATACAACAGAAGCGACTAAAACAGAGTTTTGCAAAAATGTCAAACAGGCGAAGAGTGCGAACAATTGATTATCTGGCGCTGCAGCAGAGTTTGCGTATGCAAAAGACACCGGCGGCAACAACAAATGCTGGGGACACGGCGGCGCCGGGGGAGGGGGAGGAGGAGAATGGCAATGGGACATGTAGTGTTCCTACCGAAACGCCGCCCCCACCACCCCCCATTCCGCCCATAAGATTACGACGCGAGCAGAGCATCGACGAGGATGTTGCAAGGTGAGCGGAGCACACCGGTACCGTTGGAATTTTTGGGCTTTTCCCAGCGCAAACAAAAACAAGAAAGTCTGCATTGGCACGTAACAGCTCTCTCGATTAGGTTTCTCCCTCGCTCTCTAAGCCTTGGTTGTGGTTTTCCCCTCTCTTTGCCGTCTCTCTCTCTCTCTCTCTCTCTTTTGCATTTCACCAGTTTTAATTGTTTAAACGTAAACAACGTGTTTTTGGGCCACGTTGTTGTTATTGTCGCCTCTGTTGGCTCAACGAACCCGAGAATTTGGCAAACTGCAAGACAGGCACAAAAAAAGAGCAACAAATTGCGAATTCTGGATGAAATTGAACACTTTGTGTGCAGCGCAATTAAAATTATGCACAGGTGCACTGCGAAAAAATTTGCAATTTTAATAGCTATTTAAAGTCATCTTGAAAGCCTGATGTAACAAAAAATGTGATTTAAATAAGTTTCAGATGAGGTTTTTGGCCAATAAACACCTTTTTGGACCAACAGCAGTGAGCAAATTATTGCACAATTAAACGTAACCAGCCATCTTAAAATTTTTTTTAAATATTATTTAAAATCTGTAAAATTTAAAAAAGGTTTTCATTTGTTAACTTTGTGTGTCTGTTAGAAATGTTGTTTTACTAAATATTGTGTTTCTTGAGACTAATAAAATACACACCTTGGTGTTTAAAAAATTGATGAATGCGAAATTCTACAAAGTTTTATTTGTAAGTTATGAAACCTTTATGGTTTTTTATTAGATCCTGTGTGCGTCGTTTTTCGGTGTATTTCGGCATTTATCATAGCCATATTTGTATTCGGCCGCCTCGAGTCTTCCAAGATATTTGCTGATAACGCTGACGGTGCCCTGATAACACATACACACACTCACCTTGAGTGAATTACGGATACCTTTTCCGCTGTTTTTTGTTTTTGTTCTTTTTGCGCGGGGGCTTATTCATAATATCTTTAAATTTGATTTGATTTCCATGGGACGGGTGAGTGTTCATGGGGGTTTCGTTTCGCAGAAAACGGCGAATGTC